AGGAGAATGGTGTGAACCCGGGGGGCGGAGCTTGCAGTGAGCTGAGATCGCACCACTGCACTCCAGCCTGGGCGACAGAGTGAGACTCCATCTCAAAAATAAATAAATAAATAAAATAAAAATAAAAATACAAAATTAAGCTGGGTGTGGTGGCACTCGCCTAAAATCCCAGCTACTCAGGAGACTGAGGCAGGAGAATTGCTTGAACCTGGGAGGCAGAGGCTGCAGTGAGCTGAGATCGCCCCACTGCAATCCAGCCTGGGCAACAGAGCGAGACTCTATCCCCCCACCCCAAAAAAAAAGGAAGTATATTCTTGTAACCTGCTTGTTTACTTGTTTACCTAGTCCTTCCTTCCCTCCCCCTAATTTGTAAGGAAGCTAACCATTAGACAAACTGTTTGGTTGAAAACTGAAAGATTAACTGCAGTTCTTAATTTGTTGTTAAACATTTAAAAAAAAGTTAAGTGATGCCTCTGTATAAAATTATTAAAGTAGATAGAATTGGTGAAAATGTATAATTTTCTTGCGAAAACTGCAGTATGTGTAAAATACTATATGATCTTTGGTACTTAAGAATTTTAAGGCTGGTGAGATGGTTCACAGCTGTAATCCCAGCACTTGGGGAGGGCGAGGCAGGTGGATCCCTTGAGCTCAGGAGTTCAAGACCAGCCTGGCCAACATGGCAAAACCCTGTCTCCATAAAACATACAAAAATTTGCTAGACATGGTGTTCTGCACCTGTGGTCCCAGCTACTTGGGAAGGTGAGGTGGGATTGCTTGATCCCGGGAGGCAGAGATTGCAGTGATCCAAGATCTCGCCACTGCACTGCAGCATGAGCGACAGAGTGAGAACCTGTCTCAAAAAAGAAAAAAAAAAAAAATGTGGGGAGCGGGGAGGGATTGCATTGGGAGTTATACCTGATGTAAATGACGAGTTGATGGGTGCAGCACACCAACATGGCACAAGTATACATATGTGGCCGGGTGCAGTGGCTCAAGCCTGTAATCACTGCACTTTGGGAGGCCAAGACGGGCGGATCACGAGGTCAGGAGATCGAGACCATCCTGGCTAACACGGTGAAACCCCCTCTCTACTAAAAAAAAAAATACAAAAAACTAGCCGGGCGAGGTGGCGGGTGCCTGTAGTCCCAACTACTCAGGAGGCTGAGGCAGGAGAATGGCGTGAACCCGGGAGGCAGAGCTTGCAGTGAGCCCAGATTGCACCACTGCACTCCAGCCTGGGCGACAGGCGAGACTCCGTCTCAAAAAAAAAAAAGTGTATATATGTAACAAACCTGCACGTTATGCACATGTACCCTAGAACTTAAAGTATGATAATAATAATAAATAAATAAATAAAAAATGTATAAAAGTTATGCGTTTGTATATATGTATGCAAGTTTTACTTAAATGTCTTCTAAGAATATGTTCTAACTTCTGTTTTAGTGGAATATTGGTGAACGATACTAAGTTAGATGGACCTATATTACAGATTCTATTCATGAACAATGCTATTTCAAAGTAAGTAATTTTTTCCCTCTCCTAAAAGTAATAATGTGTTTATGGAACAACTTTATAAATATGCCGTTTTCATTTGTACTTATATCATTTTTATTATTTTACTTAAAATGACCCTGGAGTTAAAGCGTAAGGAATCATGATTAAGAGCAAGGACATTGGGGTCACAGTGACCTGAATATCTGGACTCTTACTTTCTATGTCTGTGAACCTGGTAAGGTCACAGATCTTTGCCACATCATCCGTTACTTCACTGGAAAACAGGATAGTCATAGTAACTACCTGTGAGGTAGCTACATGAGCACCTCTAAGAGCTCAATAAATGGCTTCTAATAAAAATCATCACTATCATTGTAAGAATAACAATGACGTTCACTATTTCTCTTTCCGAATCAGGTAACTGAGTTTTCCGTGTTGGCCATCTTCAAAGCCTACTCACTTGATTATTTCTTTTAACAGCAAAAGAAGACTTTGCAAACCATTAGCATCAGGGTTTCGGGTGACCCTGTGCATTCCTGCAGTGCTTGCTGAGAGTGTTCTAAAATGGTTTGCTCTGTCCCTTCTGCAGAGCATGGTCATAGACATTTCACATAGTTGCTTGCTCCCTCGAAAGTCACTTAGTCATATTGTTGTCTTCTTAATGCTGACCAAGGTCAAGAAGATAGAAGGAACAATGCCAGGTCCATAACCTACTCTATCTCAGCAGAAGTGGAACCCAAGGCTCTGAGGTGGGGAAGCTGGATGCTAAATACAGCAGCAAGGTGCTGGGCATGACTGGGCTGTAGCACTATTGTCCCTCCCATGCCCAGGTTAGAATCAGTAACCCTCTAGCTCATGACGGTCTCATTTCTGCACCATTCACCTAGTGTTTAACCTGCAGAAATCTTTTTTTTCTTTTTTTTTTTTTTGAGATGGAGTTCTGGTCTTATTGCTCAGGCTTGAGTGCAGCGGCGCAATCTCAGCTCACCACAACCTCCACCTCCCAGGTTGAAGTGATTATCCTGTCGCAGTCTCCCAAGTAGCTGGGATTATAGGCATGTGCCATTACACCTGGCTAATTTTGTATTTTTAGTAGAGATGAGGTTTCTCCATGTTGGTCAGGCTGGTCTCGAACTCCCAACCTCAGGTGGTCCACCCATCTTGGCCTCCCAAAGTGCTGGGATTACAGATGTGAGCCACCGCACCCGGCTTTTCTTTTTTCTTTTTCTTTTTTTCTTTTTTTTTTTTGTGATGGAGTTTCCCTCTTTTTGCTCAGGCTAGCATGATCTTGGCTCACTGCAACCTCCACCCACTGGGTTCAAGCAATTCTCCTGCCTCAGCCTCCCAAGTAGCTGGGATTACAGGTGCCCGCCACCAGGCCCAGCTAATTTTTGTAGTTTAAATAGAGACAGGGTTTCACCATGTTGACCAGGCTGGTCTTGAACTCCTGACCTCAAGTGATCCACCTGCAGAAATCTTAAAATGTCAGAGCTACAAGATACCTAAAAGATCATCAAGTCTGTGAAAAGAAAACTGAGTCTGAGACATTATGGCTCCCCGATTACATCGTAAGAGACTTGGGCTCCTTCAACACCTCCTGAACTGAGCACTACAGAATATGTGATGAGCTTGGTTCTTGACCTGGAGGGCTGGGGAAAGTAGACCTCAGTATTTTTTCTTGCTTTGCATTTTGATTTTATCTTTTCCAGTTTCATATTTATATTGGTGTTTCCTTATGTATGTATAAAGAATCTCTGGGAGGAGGATGTGGAAGACCTGAATATATATTGACTATCTTTGTGTTGCAGAAATAGATGGCCAGGAGACAGGGTAGGAAGGGAGCTTTTCATTATGTAACCATTTTACTTCTCTTGGATTTTGAACCATTTACTTGTAGTATCTATTTAAAAAATTAAGTACACGGAATTTATAAATCAAATCCGTGTATTCTTTGCACAGCTGATTGGCAGTTATGCCAATCACTGTGTTACTTTATCATAATTATTTTATTAACTTGGTAACAATATGTAATTTATCTTAAGGAATATGTTCCTGAGTATTACAGAGAGTCGGTGATTTGTTAAACTTCTGAAAAACAACAACATTCACATTTGACATCTTATAGTAATGTGTAAGACTTCAGTCTATTGAATGTTTTACTCTGTCTGGGTTCTGACCATTTTGTCCTCTTACACAGGCAATATCATCAAGAAATAGAGGAATTTGTATCAAATTTAGTAAAAAGATTTGAGGAACAGCAGAAAAATGATGTGGAAAAGACTGCCTTTAATCTTTTGCCCCAGGTATTTCAAATTTAAGAGACTTTAAGATTAGTAGGTTATGCGTTTCACAGCGAATTATTGGGCCACAAGGATCCTCTTGAATCAAAACCAAAATGATTAACACCATTCACCACCTCTCCTTCCACTGGCTTGCTTTTCTGAAGCCTGACTGGTTTAGCCACACGGCGTTCTATTAGATTGTGGCTCAGACTTTTTACATTGCCTAACTTGGACGTGTGGTTTTGGGCAGAAAATTAATTTTAGGCCAGACAAAAATCTAAGTTTCTGGGGTTTACAAAAGATGGATTCCTTTTATCTAAAACCAACCAGCTTGTGGGCTGTCCCTTTTTCCCACTACTTGTTTTTAGAAAATCAATTGTGTGCCCAAAGAAATCTAAGAAGTTTTACAATGTGAATATTGGATCATGCATTTATGTTTTAAAAAAAAGGAGAGTTATGATATCTGAGTCTTTTTTTTTTTAATTAAAAATTAAGGTAAATAGAATTTCTCAAATAAGGAATTTTAGCTGTTTATCCTCAGGCTTTGGAGAACAGAATGTTCTGATTGATTGTGTTTTTTATCGCCTTTGGTTTTTATGTATTCTATACAATTTTTAAAGATTCAGCAAACAAAATACATTTAACAATAAAAACCATACTGAATATTATTTTTGATTCAAGGAAACTTTTGTAGTGGCTTGAGGTCTGTGAGGGTTATATTATCAGTATTGACCAGTAATGTAAAACTATGTATTTTTTTGGCCAGGCACGGTGGCTCAAGCCTGTAATCCCAGCACTTTGGGAGGCCGAGACGGGCGGATCACGAGGTCAGGAGATCGAGAACATCCTGGCTAACCCGGTGAAACCCCGTCTCT